GCCGGGGGCTGGGTGGCAGGGACCGTCCGAGGCTGCCCCGATCCGAGGAACGGCGGGTCTCACCTCCGGCGCCGCCGCCTGGGCTCCCGCGCCCACCCGCCGCCCTGGCCGCGTTGCCCCGGGTGAGGCTCAGCCGGGGTTGGCGGAGGCGCCCCCGCGACTCTGCACAGCAGCCTCGCGCGCTGGCGTCTGCGGGCATCTTAGCCGAGCGCGTGCGGGCATCCTTTCTTCGCTGGGAGAGGGGGCGAGGCGGTGCGGGGCTTCGGATGCCTGCTCGTGGGGGGGCGCCGCGCACCCCGCTCCGGCGTCAGCAGGACTCGTCCATTGTGCCACCCGGATAATTATTCAACTCTGCAGCATCCACTGCACCTTTGCCGGGTTCCCTTCCCCTTGCTACAGCATGCCCCCTAGCTTCGGTCCTCTGACACCTCCCCTCGCACTGGCAGAGGACGAGCCGGCATGGTGGTGAAAAGAAAGCGCCTCCGACCCGAGCATCCGCGAGTTGCCCTAGAGCCCATCAATCAATTTATCCCCGGCCAGACCAGGCACTTCCCTAGGGCTCCCTCTAATCGCATCCTTTTCTGTATAAGGCGTGCCTTGGCTTCCAAATTTTTTCCCTTTGGTGTTAGATTCGCGTATTAGCTGAGTCTTTCCTGTTCGGTAATGGATGTGATCGATCTATTGGTTTTTCAACCCATCAGACGGTCTCACATGTAATTTGTGTGGTAGGTAACTTTCATTGTTCTAATTGCTGATAGCACCGTATCATAATGACAAATGCAGTCTCAGTTTGCGCTCTCAGGAGCATTTTCTGTCTTTTGCTCTAAGTTTCTGTTAGGGCAAGTATTTTTATTTATAGAGAATGTTTGAATAAAGTATTTGATATAAAATTTCCCAAGTTATGAAAGAGAAAAGTTTTGCATTTCTTCATTTTTCAAAAGCAGGAGATTTGATTACTAATCATAGCCTACGGTTGAATGAAAGGAAGGATTTAATATTCAAGATGAGGTTTTTTAACTGCCAAATCGGTTATTTCTGATTTTATCTGAATTTTTATGTTTTATTCAAAAATTTTTACAATATCATGTATGTAACTGTTACCGAATTTTTCTCTATTTTTCTAACTTCTATCTGTAAGGATAATAGGCTTCAATTTTGCATGCTGTATCTGAAAGATGAAATCTTTTTTGAATATATAAGAAACAACTGTTGGTTACTTGATTTTTATGTTAAAAATTGTTTACATCTCATTATTTATAAATAAATGAGTCACTACCAAAATGTGTTTTATATTTGTGATCCTCCCTTTTCATCTTTCCTTGTTTAAGCTTGTTGTGTTAACCCTTTTGATAAAACAAAATTGCACATAGGTACTGCAGAGGCATTTTTAGGATACAGTAATTGTTTTATGGCACATGGAAGTGGCGCACATAGAAAAGTTGTGGTGTAGGTTCAGTTGCTTGGTTAGGAAATGACCTTGCAATTTACAAAATGGACACCTTTGTGCCTTGGTTTCCTTATATGTAAATGGAGATAATACTCATTTACTCTAGTAGGTGGTATGCACAAATTCAGTAAATGTGTTTTCATAGTGTTTTTAAAGAAAATTTAAATATTTTAGCTGATAAATGATGAAAATATTTCAGTGTAAAATACAGTGAAAAAATCATTAGGATTTTTCTTGGCATATTAGAATGGCTGATTTACATTGACTTTTGCTTTGGAGAGGTATGCCTCTAAATTGAAAAATGTTTCTTATTATCAAGGGTTTTTAATACGTATAGACGTAATATTAGATTTTATAGTCAATACCTATGTCTAGTTAAAAATATAGATGTAAATAGTTAATACTGATGAAAAATTATATGACTTAAACAAGTAGAATATTGAATTAAGTTTGTGAAAAATCATATATTCAAAAATACTAAGGCTTTTTAAAAAATGTGCAAGTCACACAATCCAAAATACACAATTGTGACATTTGTAAGGAGTGACTTTTTTATTATTCATGTTTGTAAATATTCATATCTTTGGAGACAATGTATTAAAACTGTATGAGATTATGATTATACATTTTGCTTTGTTTTAGGAATAAATTAAGATAACCATTTCCAAGTGCTTGATTTTCATTATTACACATGGGAGCTTGTGATTTTCTTATTGGAAGATTAATTCAGTCAATTTTCATAGCAAAAACTACTATTAAAAGATCATATTATTAGATCTTTTACCAAAGCAGTGCTTTTGGCCACTTTGTGGGAAAACTTCATATAGCTAATAGTGCCTTTAAAATTGTATGGTTTCTTTTTTTGAAAGTTGATTACATTTTATAATGTTTTCTTAAATGGTGAACTAAAATTTTGCTGTCACTGTCACTCGGGTAAATGCAGTGAACACATGGTTTTTCTTAGCCCTTTGAGGACAGGAACTGACCTTAGACTTATTGTCATAAATCCAAAGTTGCTAGTATAGTGTTGAGCAAATAATGGGGGCCCAATTTTCTTTATTGAACAAATAAAATGAATGAATGAAGACTATTGAATTATTATATACTGAGTGAAAATTTTTAAGAGATTTGTCAAATTTTAATTAGTGAAACATATGGCTTTATCTCAAGAGAAAAAATAGAAAAATTAATTTGGAAGTTCTTTGACTTCCATTTACCTGTTCAGATATAATTCCTTTACCTGAACATTTTTGAACTGGCGCTAGATACTGAATCATGTATATGTTAGCACCCCTTCATTTATGATAGTTTTCTTCTTACTTACTATATGCTAATTTTTTTCTTATCTACTATAGCTCACTTCATGAAAATATACATTAATCTTTTTTAAAATTTCTCCTAAACTAGATGACTGTGGAACTGTGTTTGATTCTTTTTGACTTACGTTTCCCAGTGAAATGTTAATAAAAATTAATACATACATGTAAAATTAATTACATGCTTGTAAGTTAAATCTTGTGATAAATGTCTGAGTCCCTAACTTTAAAAATAAATGACCTCTGAGACCTTTTGTAAAATTTTATAAATTTATAAACTTTTATAAAATTAAGAATCTTATATTTTTAGCTTATCACATTTAGCTTATAATTTTGAATCTCTGTGCACTATTATTCCTGACTTAGAATGGGATTGATTATATTTTAAAACTTGTAAAGAGGTTTGGAACTTGGGACTTATTTTCTCAGAAACAATATGCTTAGTGGTTAGATTCACAGCCTGCTAAAACCTATTTAACCCATAATGTACTTGAATGATAGGCTTATATTAATAATACTAGAGCGTTATAAGGTTACATTAATAATAATTAGTATAAATGTTATATTAAAATATGTATAATACTGTGTATGACACTTTTTCTATGGGAAAGATTAATTTCAAGTCCATGAGGAAATGCTGGGAATTTGTTACTCTTGTGTTAGACATGACAACATGATGAAAATCTTGTTGTTTCACCCACTGGACATGAAGAGTGGGACCTTTCTCAGTTCAATGAATGAAGTACCCTTACATTGTCTGGGGCCAAGAAGTGAGAGCATGAGAGAAATCAGAAGGCACCAGGGTCTTCCACGTAACTTTACCTGCTTGGTCTTTGGTTTTGTCAACTGTAAAATGACAAGGTTGAAGGTCCCTTTTAGGTACAAATACAATTCTAAGGCACTTTGAAGCTCGGTATAACCTTTTTTTCTAAGAGTTCATTTTCCCTTTCTAATATCACTGCTTATGTACCTTCCTTCAGGAAGTTTCTCCTTTCTGTGTCCACCTCTTGGAGGAAGATGATCTTAATCTTTGCTCATATTCTTTTTCTCTTCAGAAGCAAGACTGTGCAGTTTTTTGAAGGAGATTTTTTTGTTATGTTTGTTTTGGTTTTTAATAAACTCCCAGCGCTGCTAAGGAATTAGGATTATTTCCTATGTTTCCTTCTTTTTAGTTTTCACTGACAGCTATTAGTAAAGTCTGGGTAGATTTTATTCATACTTTGGAGAAAGATAATATTTAGTGAATTTCCAGGGAATTATTTTTGAGGAAAAATACTGGAATTCAGGTCTTGAAGTGGGAGTATGAAGACATAAAGGTGAATTGTGGCCTGGGAGTAGGGTTATCCCTAAAGTCCAGTCCATCTTGTGGCTTTGGCTTTCTTACCTAAGTGCTGTGGCGCTTTGC